AAAAAAAAAAAATAGGCTCCCTGATGGCTCAGCGGTTTAGGATGCAGCACTGCAAGCTGTGCTCAGCCACTTCAGTGAGAGTTTGATTCCCGCCCTAAAGGTGACCCACATGATGTAGCAGACCTCTCCTGTCTTCCCTGTTCTGCTCCCCATCTGTCTCTGGTGAACCCTCTCACAACCCCTGCACCTCTGGCCTGTACCTCAGTTCTGTATGTATAAATAAATAAATCTTTTAAAAAATAGGGATCTAGTAAGCCCATTTTACAGAAGAGGAAACCAAGACTATGTAATGAAATAACTTAGCCAAGAGGTCAGTCATGAGGGATAATACCAAGATTTCATTTTGGGTCTTATGTTTCAGATTCGCCGTCCTTTATCATTCTGCCTTTATAAATTTCTGTTGCTTATTATATTGATAAAGATGTAAATGCACAAGTTGACTAATAAACTTTTGCACTCAGGAGATCTTAGGGAGACATGCTTAGAATTTCTTAACATTTTTGTCAAATGCCTTATATAAACTAGATTAATTGAAATTAAAGCAGTATTAGAAGGAAAGTGAATCAACTTAAACTAGAATATTAATGGATACAAAATAAGAGTTGTAAATCATAAGAAAGTGAGATGAAAACCACTAATTTATATAAAATTTTATCATTTTATATAAAATTTTTATCATTTTACTGTATTTTTTCCTGTAGATCCTTAAATATGGAAAGAAAACTAATATAAAGTATTTAAAGATTCCCATTTACTTCAGAGGCATGTTCAAATTAATTTCTTAAGCAAGATATTTATTGTGCATCACCTTTCAAAATGATTATTTTCATAGAAGATCATAAAAATAAAAGGATATATATAAGAAAATAGAAATAAGAGAAAGACGATAGAAATACGAGTCCATCAAAACCATATTTGAAACTTAGATTACTGTATAAAGAGTGGCCTGGTTTTGGATTTTATTTGATAGTTCTTTCTTGTGGTTCTACATCTAGCCATTGAAGTCTATTTGCATATGTAGGTTGGAAAGGTGTCCTTTAATATATATATATAATTTATTTTTACCTCATTTTGTGCCTTTTTCCATCTCTGGTTTATTTTTATTTATTTATTTTTAAGCTAGTAAACTTTAAAGACATTTAAGATGGAGCACTATATTTTTATTCCTAATGTGTAGGAGTGAAGAAAGAGCATGCACCATACCAGAAATCATAACCTTAATTGTCAATCTAGACTAAATGGAAGATAGCTATAAAACAGTGAAACCAATTATCTGCTCAGCACAGTACTTAACACTAAAAACAGGCCTTTGTTCAAAAGTCATAATAAATGTACAATTCAAAATCAAATACGAAGGTTGAAGAATAACCCCTTTGAGAAAATAGACTTAAAGTAGAGATTAGTTTAGTATTTACCCTTCAACAGCAGTATTAGTGAAGATTCAGGGATCAGGTATAAATACACAGTTTAGAGAAGAAAAGAACTGACTCGTTTTGTCCAGGAGTCTTAAAGAATCACTCTGTGGGAGAGGATAACCGCTTTACTCAAATGATAAGTAATTTTATTTGTTCCACTTCCTACTAACTGGTAATAATAATCCCATACTAGAATAATGTCTAGTTTTCATTAAAGTTTCATTTATTTCAGAAAGGTCCACATTGCATTTGGTTGTCTTGTGTCTAAGTGATATTTTAATTGGAAAGGTAAAGTGTTTTCATGGGTGAGAAATAGAAAATATTGATAGGTCTTGATTATATAGACCTATATATATACTATACACTGGTACTAGAGCAGAGAAATAAAGACTACTTAGGGAAACACAAGTATATTATTGACTATATAACTTTTTTAAGATTTATTTATTTATGCATACAGAACTGGGACGCAAGCCAGAGGTGCAGGGGCGGTGAGAAGATTCACCAGAGACAGTAGGGAGCAGAACAGGCTTGACTGTCGAAGTACACTGCTGAGGGGAGCAGCGGGCTGGTCAGGAGAGGTCTGCCAAGCCATGTGGTCACCTTGAGGCAGGCGGGAGTCGAACTCATAAGTAAGTATCTTTAGCTTCTTAGTGCTGTGCTTTCACTCGCTTCACCACCAGGGAGGACCGGAAGTTTTAATAAGTGACAAAAGATACAAGTCCTGCTGAAATGCAATTGTAGGTGTAAGAATCTTAGATCTAGATTTAAGGTATAAAATTAAGAATGGTAAGGAAACAGAAGAACTTGAATCTCAAAAAACCAGTAAGTTGTTCTTATTTACTGAATGCAAGGCATGATTGGCACAGGGTGAAAATTGAGTGTAAAGAGAATAGTAGTGGGCAAGTAACCATAATTTGGGTTCAAAAGAATGTGTCTAAGAAAAACATTAAAATGAGTAGCATACTTATGTTCTTGTAAAAACCTTTTGTGTTGCACTTCTTGACTAATATTCTGGTATAATTCATTCATATAAAAGAAAGAAGAGTCTAAAATTTTTTAAATATAAATGTTCAATTCTAAGTTTAACTTTGTATATGAGACCATTGCTGGGGAATCTAATAATGATATGGCTTTAATTTTTACTGTATACTTTTGTAAAAGATTTTTTGTGTGTGTATACTAAAATACCAAGTTACTCTGTAGTGATTTTTTTTTTTTTAAGATTTATTTATTTGTACATACAGAACTGGGGTACAGGCCAGAGGCTCAGGGGCGGTGAGGGGCTTCACCAGAGACAGAGTGGGGAACAGAACAGGCAGATCTACGAAGTACACTGCTGAGGGGAGCAGTTGGGGGGTCCAGGAGAGGTCTGCCATGTCATGTGGATCTCCTCCTCCAGAGCAGGCGGGAATCGAACTCATGCAGAAGTGTCTTTAGCTTCTCAGTGCTGTGGTTTAACCTGCTGCGTCACCAGGGATGGCCCCGTGATTTTTTTTTTTAAGGCTTAAAAAAGAAATTTTTTATTATTACTCATGTTTCCATGTGTTGACATGACACAAAGGAAGCTAACTTCAGAAATCCCAAAATGTTGCTTGCATATTTTAATGGTTAAGAAAGTAATTAAGATCAGCCCAGGCTTAAGTTATTGGGTGTTTTCTCTGCATTCTTCTGTCTTTCCTTCTCATCTTTATCTCCAATTTTCCTTTGTTTTTTAATGGATAACATATTTGAGTGTCTTTTGTACACATCCTGACTTTTCTGAAATAAACTGTTTTGATTGAAACTAACATCACACACAATTTCTTAAGTAATGTTTTCTCTCCATCTGAAAAAAATCAGGGGGAGTCTAAAGACAACTTTATATTTATAAAGACAACTTTATATTTAAAGTGAAAAACTAGGTTTTTTGGATTAGAAAACAGTTTTGGACCATATATAAAGACTTTGTCTAAACAAAGAAGCAGACATTTTCATGCTGTGTATTAGCAACTGACTAGCCCTGTCATGTGACAGTGAAAACAATATGAATTCAAAGAAATCTGAAGAGTTTTTATTTGTTGCTCTTGAATACAAAGAGAAAGATACACCTTCTTTGTCTAACTGGAATCTTTCAGTTCTAATAATTTGAATGTAAAATTTTCCATATTTTTCTGAAATATGGAAATTTTTTCTAGTATAAATTAGTCGTTTTCAAAGAGAACATAGTTCTTTTAATTATCCCAGATATTTAGAGATAAAGTAAGAAAAATCTCTGGGAGTATCTTAAAAATATAATGTTGCAGTATTGTCATGTAATATATCCTTTAAGAGACGAAAATGAAGGTGAGAAAAATTGTATGTTTGCTGATAATCTAATATGAGAATTAAAGATGCAGGTGAGAGTGCTAGAGGAGAACTGCTAAGCTGGAGAGGATAGAATACTAGTATATAATAAGGGAAGATAAACAATGATTTTTCACCCATAATACAAAGATATATTTTCAGTAGAAGTAGGGGAAATTCTCTTCTGATAACCTCTATTTTCTGAAATAGAAGTGAGAATGAAAGGAAAGATACTGAAAGTTTGAAGGGAGAGGAGTTTTTCTGCAAGAATAAATTCATCAAAGTTGACAGCTTTTAAACCAGTCTTAGATAGAAAAGATAAAGTGAAATTATTTCTGTTCATATGTGATGTGATCTTATATGTAGAAAACCCTTGACTCCATTTGCAAATTAAGCAAAATTGCAGGGCACAAATCAGCTCTCAGAAAACAGTGAAATTATAAGACTGTTAAAAGACAGATATGGGGCTCTCCCTGGTGCCGTAACAGATTGACGTGCAGCACTATGAAACTGTCCACAGCCATTGCAGCACTAGTTTGATCCCCAGCCAGGGAGGTGACCCACATGGCATGGCAGACCTCTCCTGACACCTTTATGTTCCCCTCATTAGTGTGTTTCACTCGTTCTTCCTGTTCTGCTCCCCACTCTGTCTAAATGAATCCTCTCACTCCCCACCCCCTGCACCTCTCGCCTGTACCCCAGTTCATGTATGCATAAAGAAACAAATCTTTTTTTTGAAAAAGTATGGAAAGACATTCCATGTTCATAGATTGGAAGTCTTAATGTTGTTAAGATGACAGTGCTACCTTTACAGAGCAAAGCAATCCCTATCAAAATTCCAGTGACATTTTTTGCAGAAAAGTGCAACCTAAATTTCATACAGAATTTCAAGGGATAGCAAAGATCAAAAAATAGTCTTGAAAAAAAAAAAAAAGCTTGAGACCTCACACTCCTAATTTCAAAACTTAATACAAAACTATGGTAAACAGTATGTAGCTAAAGACAAAGACCAATGGAATAATACATTAAAAATAAACTCTTGCTTATATGTTAAATGATTTTCAACAAATGGGAAGACTTGAAAGGCCTTAATGAAAGCATTTAACAATCTTTTCAAAAAATGTTAGGAAAACTGGATAGCCACATAAAAGAGAATGAAGCTCAACACTTAACACCATATATAAAAATTTAAATGGATCAAAGACCTAAACATAAGTACTCAAAATTATAAAATTCTCAGAAAAAAGCATAGAAGGAAAGCATCATGACATTAAACTTGGCAGTAACTTCTTGGATAGATACCAAAAGCACAGGGACAAAAATTCACCTACAGAATGGGAGAAAACATTTGAAAATCATGTATCTGATAAGGGATTAATAGCACACTTATATAAAGGTCACACCATTTTAAAAAAGCCCTTTTTTTTTAATGAAAGAAATTTGCAGCATGTTTATTTTCCCTGTTTTTTTTAATAATATAGTTTACTTTTGCATCATTTTATGCCTTTTTCCATCTCATTTGTAATCCCCGTGGAAAAAACCCTTTTTTTTTTGTTAAAGATTTATTTATTTGTTCATACAGAACTGGGGTACAGGCCAGAGGCTCAGGGGCGGCGAGAGGCTTCACCAGAGACAGAGTGGGGAGCAGAATAGGCAGATCTACAAAGTACACTGCTGAGGGGGGAGCAGCGGGCGCGGGTCAAGAGAAGTCTGCCACGCCATGTGGTCACCTCCTGGGCAGGCGGGAATCAAACTCATGCGAAGTGGCTTTAGCTTCTCAGTGCTGTGCTTTAACCCACTGCGCCAGCAGGGAGGGCCACAAAAGCCCATTTTTTTTAAATGAGCAGAATATCTGAATAAATATTTCTCCAAAGAAATTGTTACCCAAAAGGCATAAGGAGAGATGCTCAGCATCACAACTCATTAGGGAAGTAACAAGTCAATATTAACTTCATACCCATTAGGATGGAAATTACTTTTTTAAGTTTAAGAAATAAGTGTTGGCAATAATACAGAGAAATTAGAACTTTTATATTGTTGATGGACATGTAAATTAGTATAGCCACTAGCAAGACAGCTTTGCAGTTCCTCAAGCATTTAAAAAATACTGTAATGTGACCTAGCAATGCCACGTTAGGCATGTTCCCAAAATAAGTATCTCAGATATTTGTATGCCATGTCTATAGCAACACTAATTATAATAACCAAAAGATGGAAACACCCTAATTATCCACTCAGTGAATAGATAAAATGTATACACATACATACCATTGAATACTCTCCAGGGGAAGAAAGGTACAACATGAATGTACCTTGAAAAGTTATGCTAAGTGAATTAAGTCAGTCACAAAAGGGCAAATATTGTATGATTCCATTTATATTATACTAGAATAGGCAAATTCATGAGGTGAGAAAGTAGAACAGTGGCTTCTGGGAGTGGAAAGAGGAATTAGTGTTTAAAGATTTATTTATGCATAGAGAACTTGGGTACAAGCCAGAGGTGCAGGGAGTGAGAGGATTCACCAAAGACAAAGTAGAGAGTAGAATAGGCAGATTGATGAGGTACACTGCTGAGGGGCGAACTGGCGAGACAGAAGAGGTCTGCTGTACCATGTGGATCACCGCCAGGGCCAGGGATCGAATTTGCACTGAAGTGGCTGCAGTTAGCTTGGAGTGCTGCGCTTTACCCACTACGCCATCATGTTATAATTTTTCAATAATTTTTTAAAATAATGTCATTTTCATTGTGGAGTGGTAAAGGTTTGTAAAATTTCTGTTTCACAGTATTCACATTTTTTTTCAATTTCATACTCAGTTTAAAGAGCATATATTTTAGCAAATAAAAAGGATTGGAATTAAAATAACATTTTTCCTTAATGTTGACATGTAGTTCATTTGATTTTAGTATAATCATTTATGTATATGTGTAGATGTATGTGTCAGGGCAACAGACAATATGTGGATTTGAACAATTGCTTGATAACTGTCTTAAAATTTAAGTGATTTTTAAGTTCTTAGACTATTGGTATAGTAGTGTGCCGTCTTGGCATTGGCCTGGCACATGTTAGGTGTTAATAAAATACATGTTTAAAAAAGCATATATGTTTGAAAATGTCAAAAATGTTTATAATTTGCTCTGGAAAGTGGATGCCAGGGACAATGCTAATGG